AATAATAATAATAATAGCAATAATAATAATGATAAAAATAAAAATACAATATCGATGATCAAAACCTTTCAAATGTGACGTACTAAAACAAAAATTGATATGAATGAGAAATGAAAAATTATTAATGAAATAATAAATAATAAATATTTTATTAAATTTATTTCATGTAATAATAAAACAATAGTTTTGTTAATTGTATTTTGAATAACTAAATGAATTTCTTTATTGATTAAAATTTTAATTTCTCTAAGACAACAATTACCACCATTGTTACATGAAAAATCGTAAATATTGTGGGATATCTCTTTTTTGTTATATTATAAATTAATTATTTGTATGCGGGTATCGCACAAAACTCCCATTTAAAACTTGACATGTAATCCCTCCTTCCAATACCATAAATCCATAATTTTTTTCTCGCCACATTTAAGAGCTATAGTACACCTAACTTGCGCTTGCAACATACTAAAACCTGAAAACTAGCGCTCGTGTTATTCATGCTTTACAAATTTCTGACATTACTTACACACTAATTATTATCCTGTTCTTAAAGGCTAAGATTTTTTTTCTTCTATCTGGCATAATTTTTTTTTTTTTTTTCAAAAAATACCAGTTACAAATCATATTATTTAATCTATTACAGCTTTCACGTATGAGATGTGTTTTTTGGATTCAATACATGATGCACAAGAATAATTTTTTAAATTACAATTTACGTAATTTACAGCGCAAAACATAAGCAGTAAATGCTCAAAATATTAAAAAAAAAACAAGTCCCGTCTAATTCTGCAAAAGTTCATCACAGTTAGCGTGTTTTTCATGGTTCAGTCTTCACACTACATACTTTCAAATCCACGGGAAAATAAACTATTTAGTTTATTCTCAAAAAATTATTTTGATCACAATCGTATTATTGTTTTTTTTTTTTTTCGGCACAAGTTTTGGCTTTTTATTCACTTATCTTTGGCTTAATATAGCACTTTTCATCCGCGTAAAATTTCTGTTTAGGTAGATGGTTTAGCTTTCTTGGAAACTGGAAGACTTTATCTACCCTTTGTTTGGGGGTACGAATGCAATTATAGAGTTAAGCAAAGCATCGAAATTATACACGAAGTGTTTAAACAGAATTAATTTAATTGTCAGCTTAGAGAAAATGTTCTTAAAACTTCATGACATATTTTGAATTTGAGTCGATAGTTTAGCTACCAGTTAGTGATGTGTAGTTTTATATATATAAAAAGATAAT